TGTTCATCCTGGAAAGTGTTTAAAAGATGACACTTTGAGACTTGACTATGCATTTCCTCATGTTGATTCATCTAGTCGATGAGAGAGTATGGGTGTTTCTTTTGCACAACGAGTTATTCTTGCTTGTACTTTCTATAGTAAGCAGTATAATGGAGAGTGTCGTAAAAAGTTAGGGGTGCATTTTATATATTCTACTGAGTATTTGTTTATTATTCCTAGCCTGCTTCGATATATCAGACTTTTGATCATACTCAGGGATCATCTCAGACACCGAGAGGTCATGGTCAGAGTCTACTTGTCTCATATGAATATGAACTAGGTTCTTCGAGTAGGGGTCGATCTGCCTAGGGTAGAGGTTTTATGGGATTAGAGGCTAGACAATCTATCATTGTGTATGCTACAAGACATCGTGAGGATCAGGATGAGCCACACATCATTACATGTACTTTTTCTGTTCATTTTGTTCATATTTTGTTTTGTTTGATGATGGGTTTACATATTCATACGTTGCGAGTTTCATTGTACTTAATCCTAAAATCTCAATTGAGCCAACTATTGGTTCTGTTACTCTTCAGTCTCTTATTGGTCAATCTGTACTAGTTGGTAAAATCTACCAAAATTTTCTCTTGAGCTCTGCGGAGAGACGATTCCTATAAATCTTATAAAACTCTAACTAGATGAGTTCAATTTTATTCTTGGAACTGATTGGTTAATGGAACATTGAATTAACTTGAACTATAAACATAAAATAGCAGTTTTGAAAACTTATAATGGTAAGGAAATTATTCTGATCAGTGAGCGACGGGGCTATCTTTCAAATGTGATATCAGCCTTGGTAGCTGAGAAAATGATTTGGAAATGTGTCGTAGTATACCTTGCTTATAATCTGGATTCTAGGAAGTCTACTTCTAGAATTGAACATATTTGTATTGTGAGAGACTTTTTAAAAGTTTTTCTGAAAGAGTTGCCTGGTGTACCACCTAAGAGGGAAGTAGAGTTCGGATCTGAACTGTATTCGGGTATCACACTGGTGTCCATGGCATCTTATCGCATGATACCTAAGGAATTGAGAGAGTTGAACGTTCAATTACAGAAGTTATCACATTAAGGTCTTAGTCAACCTAGTACTTCTCCGTGGGGAGCTCATTTGCTCCTTGTTAAGAAGAATGATGCTACTTTGCGCCTATGCACTAATTATCGGAAGCTGAATGATTAAAAACAAATACCCGTTACCGCGTATTGATGATTTGTTTGATCAATTCTTAGGTGCAACTGGTTTCTCTGAGATTGATCTTCGATGAAAGATTTTGATGTTTCGAATACAGCTATTCAGACTCGATATGGTCATTATGAGTTATTAGTGATGTCATACGGGTTGACTAATGCTCCTAATCTTTTATGGATATGATGAATTGAAGTTTCCAACCTTATCTAGATCAGTTCGTCGTTGTTTTTATCAATGATATCCTGATTTAGTCAAAGTTTGAAGTTGTACAGGATGAGCATTTCAGAGTTGTTTTGTATACTTTGAAGGAAAAACAACTTTATGCAAAGTTTAGTAAATGTGAATTCGAGCTTAGCGAAGTAATGCTTCTGAGTCATATTTCTGTTAATGGTATTTCTATTGATCCAAAGAAGATTGAGGCTATTCTAAACTAGAAGCAACCTAAGAATGTGGCAGAGATCCATAGTTTTATGGCTTTGACAAGGTATTATCGAAGGTTTGTAGAGAGGTTTTCGATGATTGTTGCTTTTTTTAAGAAAATTTTGATAAAGAATATACCCTTTGTTTGGGGTGAAGTGATAACTCTCCAAAATAATTATTATATTGATTCTTTGTACCTAGGTTTAGCTTGAATTTAAGCATGTTTGAAAGCATTTTTGGATTAATTTATTCATACTTGCATATATTTTGCATCATTAGAAATTTGGTTGACTTGGGCTGATTTTTAGTATTTCTATTGAAAAAGGTACAAAATGCTACAACATTAGAGTGGATGCTACAACAAGCGATGAGTCACCAAGTGCTTCGTATAATATTTTAGAATGGGACAGTTGGCTGGGACAACTATAATCCTCTCCAATTAGCACCTGAAACATGAAATAATCCCATCGGAGAGACTATGGCCCTTTCCACCTATAAATAGGAGGGCCATTTGCTTATTTCATCATCAGATTTTTATATTCTCCTCTCCACTAACCTTCCATATTTCTCTCGTCATGGTGGTTTAAACTCTTCGCCAGGAAAAGTTGCAGTACACAGGAGCAGGTTGAGTAGCATTAGTAGTGAAAGTGGATCACTTCTCTTCAATTGTTGCTCTTCAGCTAAGATAGGGAAGTATCATTAGTTTAGGGTGCTTTTATTATATCATGGACGAATGTTGCTAACAACTTAGTGGTTGTTCTTGCTAATATTAGCTTATGATTTGATTATATATTTCTTATGTTGTTCAACTTCAAGATAATTTTAGAAATATTATTGTCTTTATGTATAAACAGTTGATGATGTTTAGAAATGAATATTGTTGAAGATTCATACTACTTTTGATCAGAGTTGGTTTTTTATTAGAATCAATCTTTCAGTTGAGAATCATGCTGCCAATTTCTAGCTTAGTTAATTATTTAATTATTTGAGTTAATGAAGGTTAATTCTTGTTAATTAAGTGCAATTAATCTTTATTGGACATATAAAATTGGAATTTATTGCATTGGTATAATATAATCAGTTAAATTCGATCCAGGGCCATTCGATATTTGAGTTTTTGCTCTACTGAATGTTATAGCAATTCTTGAAACTTATTTCTCTTGATTGCAATATTTTTTATTCAATATTTCCTTTAAGCTCTCAATCATATTTCCATTCTTCTTCTAGACAACTCTTTCGTACACTCTTGCTCTCTGTGGGTTTGACATCCGAAGCTTAACAACTTCCACTTTCTTACTTGATTGTCACGTATACTTGCGTAAATGTTGTAGCAATTCTGATATCATCAGTTTTGGCACGTTGGCGAGGCTAGATAATATACGATTTTGACCAACTTTTTTTGGATTTGTGAAAATGACCAACAAAATCGCAATGCGATCTCTAATTCGCATTGCGATCTCCACTATCGCAAATTCGCGTTGCGATAGTTGAAAATCGCGTTGCGATAGTTGAAAATCGCGTTGCGCTTTTCCATTTCGTGTTACGATAGTTGAAAATGGCGTTGCGATTTTCCATTTCGCGTTGCGATTTTTCATTTCGTGTTGCGATAGTCTTCAGTTGTCGTTGCGATTTTCCAAATTCGTTGCGATTTTCCAAATTCGTTGCGATTTTCCAAATTCGTTGCGATAGTCTACAGTTGTCGTTGCGATAGTCTACAGTTGTCGTTGCGATTTTCCAAATTCGTTGCGAAAATTCGTTGTGATAGTTAAAAAAAAGATTTTGTTTCTTAAGAATTTTCTCTAAAAAGATAGTATCCACGCGGACGTGTCGAAGACACGTATTACCACGACCACGACCCGACCCGACCCGAGACCAGACGGACGGCGGCGGCGGCGGCGCGCGAGAGTCCCCCTTGTTCTCTATCACTCAACAAGGAAGTGGGAAAGCCAAGCCTTAAATACCATTAATAGTGTTTCCAATACTATGTGGGATTGAGCATTGCCAACACTTGATTCCAATACAATGTGATAATTCAGGAGACGACTAACAATCATGCACCTTAAAACAATTGAATCAGCAACCAATTGCATTAGTATTATACGATTAAATATGTCATAATTAAAAGTCAATCTACAATCAATCACGATTATTGCAATTTTAAGCAAAACATTCAAAAATTATATCACTATTTAAGGCTGAATCCCACATAGTATTGGGAACAAGTGTTGGTAATGCTCAAATCCCACATAGTATTGGAAACACTATTGGGAATGGTATTTAAGGCTTGGCTTTCCCACTTTCTTGTTGAGTGATAGAGAACAAGGGGGACTCTCGCGCGCCCGCCGTCCGTCTCGGGTCGGGTCGGGTCGTGGTCATGGTCTTGGTCGTGGTAATACGTGTCTTCGACACGTCCGCACGGATACTATCTTTTTAGAGAAAATTCTTAAGAAACAAAATATTTTTTTTAACTATCACAACGAATTTTCGCAACGAATTTGGAAAATCGCAACGACAACTGCTGTAGACTATCGCAACGAATTTGGAAAATCGCAACGGCAAGTGTAGACTATCGCAACACGAAATGAAAAATCGCAACGCGATTTTCAACTATCGCAACGCGAATTTGCGATAGTGGAGATCGCAATGCGAATTAGAGATCGCATTGCGATTTTGTTGGTCATTTTCGCAAATCCAAAAAGAGTTGGTCAAAATCGTATATTATCTGGATTTTGTCACTGGGGTTATTTTCTCATATTTATTTTCTTTTTTAGGCACTTTATTTTAGTTTAGTGTTGTATGTCTGATAGCGATGACCTCGCTTCGTTAGACCCTAAAATTGAAAAAACTTTTTGTCTTCGTCGAATAAAAGCCAACTAAAATTGAGTCTAAATGGGTAATCAAGCACAAAGTTACAATGCCCTTCCACCATTACAACATACTAGAGATTGAGAAATACCATACTCATTGGAGTTGAGCATCAGTCACACTTCAACATGGATGATAGCAACCAACCTATTAGGGAGAATGTTGTCCTTATACCTTAGAATTATGCGACTAGCCATTCAAGCTACTAACTTTAACCTGAAGTCGGTGATGTTTCCAATGTTACAATCTATGGGGCAATATAGTGGTTCATTTATCGAGGATCTTAGGGCATACCTTAGACATTCATTGAGGTGTGTGATTCTTTTATACAACAAGGAGTTCCTAAATAAGCTATGAACCTAAAGTAGTTTACTGATTTCGCTATGCAATAAAGGTAGAGAATGGCTCAATCACACCAGGTGTTATAGCATCCTAGAATGAATTAGCACAAAAAATTATGTTGCGCTTCAATCTGCCCAATATGAATGCAAAACTAAGGAATGATCTTACTTTCTTTAAGCAACTTGAAGACGAGAATTTATAAGAAGTTTGGGAGCGATTTAAAGAGTTGCTATGAAAGTGTCCTATGCACGTTTTTCCCCATTAGACGCAAATGGAGATTTTTTATAATGGGTTAAACAAGCATACTCGCATGGTGGTTGATGCTTAAGTAAATAGAGCACTGTCGGACAAGTTATACAATGAATTATATGAAATATTGGAGAGGATTCTAATAAAGACTATCAATACCCCAATACAAGGAACATTTGGCGGATGAAATATTGCATCAAGAGACATTGATCTTTCATCACAAATTATAACATTGACCGATCTGGTAAAGAAATTACAAAAGGTGGGTGGCGTATACGAGGTAAAAGCTACATCTCATCTCTCTTAAGTTTATTGTGGTGATGCACATAATTATGAAGAATGTCTATAAAACCCCTAGTCTATTTGTTTTGTAAGAAATTTTAATAGGGGTGATAATGACAACCATTATGGGAACTCATACAATACCAACTACTGCAACCATCCCAATTTATCTTGGAGGAGCCAAAACATTACCAATCCAAATGTCATGTAAACCAATCTGTAGTCGTATTATAATCAGCAATAATTGATTCCACAACATCAACAACTAACATAGCCATAAGGTTGAATTACCAAGGGAAAATTCCAATCAAGCTCCCAACCTAAAATTTCTTGAATTTCTGCTAAAGAAGTACATTTCTATGAAATAAAGCCTTGATCCAAAGAAATTCAACATCATTGAAAGCGCTATTAAACAAGTTGGACAACTAGGTAATACCTTAAGAAATAGGCAACCAGAGACGCTTCCCAGCGATACTGAAGTTTCTAATGCCCATGGGAAGATACATTTCAATGAGCATTGCAAGGCCATCACAACTTAAAGTGGAATCCACATTGGGAGACCTGCTACGGAAAACAAGAAGAATGATGATGAGCAACAAACCAAGGACAAGGAGGTAGCACAAGACACATCTATTCCAGATGCTACAACAAAAGATGCTGGATAAAGTAGTAATTTTTTGTCAATGCCAGTGACATCACCTCAAGTAGTTCTTCCTATGATATCTGTGATGCCACAACCAGTGCCATATCAATCAAATCCAATACCTCCACCACCTTTCCCATAAAGATTCAAGAAAACAAATGATGATCAATAATTTAAAATGTTCATTGATGTACCTCGTCGATTGACAATCATTATCCTGTTTATGGATTCTTTGGAGAAAAACCCAAAATACATCAAATTTATGTGCAAAGTACTCTCCAAAAAAAGAAGGCTAGGAGAGTTTGAACTGTGGCACTTAACGAAAGATGTATTTAGGAAAAGCTTTATGTGACTTAGGTGCCAACATTAACCTTATGCCAATGTCTATTTTTAGGACGTTTGGAAGTGAGACACAAGGCCAAGTACCGTGACTTTGCAACTTGTCAACCGATCCACTTTTCATCCTAGTAGAATCATGAAAATATGTTTATTCGAGTGGATAAATTCATATTCCCAATACATTCTTGGCTGGCCCTTCCTTGCTAGAGGGTGAGCACTTATAGATGTTGAAAATGGAGAACTTAACATGTATTTAAATGATGAATATATTACTTTCAGTGTCTTGAAAAATGTTTCTTACATAGATGAAAATGTTGAATGTGATAATGTTGAATGCAATAGCATTGATGTTTATGTGCAGGAGCATTTGAAGGAAAACTATAGTAAATGCTATGGCAATTGAAGAAATCAAAGATAATAAGGCAGAAATTTTATGCAACACTTTGAGTCCTTGGAATTTCCTGATCGACCTATTCAAGCACCAAATATGTCCATAGAAGAACCTCCTAAGCTTGAGCTCAAACCCTTGTACGAGCATTTGAAATGTGCATTCCTCGGAGAAAATAATATATTGCCAATCATTGTCACGGTAAAGCTTACAGCATCACAAGCAGAAAGCCTGATTGTTATGCTAAAGCAACAGAATAAGGAAATCGCTTGGAGCATCACAAATATTAAGGGGATTAGTCCAGCATTCTACATGCATAAGATTTTCTGGAGGATCAGAATAGCAATTCTATTGAGAAATAAAGAAGGTTAAACCCAGTCATGATGGAAGTTGTTTGCAAAGAAATTATCAAATGGTTGGATGCTGGGATAATATACCCCATCTCTGACAACAACTGGGTTTTCATGTAATGTGTTCCCAAGAAAGAGGCATAATCATAGTAGCAAATGAGAAGAATGAGTTGGTATCGACACGTACAACTACGGGCTGGAGTATTCACATGGACTACCGCAAGCTAAAGTTACAAAGAATGATCACTTTTCGTTACTATTTATTGACCAAATATTGGACAGACTTGCTGGAAAGACTTTTTACTATTTCCTTGATGGGTATAGTGGGTATAATCATATTGTTATAGCCCCTGAAGATCAAGGGAAGATAACTTTTACTTTCCCTTATGGAACTTTTTCATTTAGAAGAATCCATTCGACCTATATAATGCTCCAAAAACATTTCAGCGCTGCATGATGGCAATATTCTCTTATATGATTGAAGATTGCTTGGATATTTTTATCGATGATTTCTCTATTTTTAGGCAAGAATTTGAGCAATGCCTTGCTAATTTGGCTACTATTTTGAAGCCATGTGAAGAAACCAACTTGGTTTTGAATTGGAAAAAATTTCATTTAATGTTGATCGGAAGCATAGTGTTGGGGCATCACATTTCTCAATGCGGCATTAAAGTAGATAAAGCTAAGGTGGAAGTTATTGAGAAGTTACGTCATCCCTCAAATGTGAAGGTTGTAAGGAGTTTTCTATGACATGCGGGATTTTACCGACGATACATCAAGGATTTCCCTCCAATTGCTAAACCTTTGTGCTTATTGCTGGAGAAAAATATGAAGTTCATGGTGGATGATGAAGTCCTAAAATCCTTTAAAACCATCAAATCTAACATTGACAATGCCCTGGTTATCGTAGCACCAGACTAGAGTTTAACTTTTGAATTAATGAGTGATGCTAGCGACCATGTTGTAGGAGCAGCTCTGGGGCAATGCAAGGATCAAATCTTCCATGCTATCCATTATGCTAGTAGAACATTGAATGATGCTTAGGTAAATTATACCACAACCGAAAAGAAGTTGCTTGCCGTGGTGTTTTCTTTTGAAAAATATTAGTATACTTGGTTCGATCCAAGGTGATTGTTTACACCAACCACTCAAATCGGAAGCATTTATTTGCCAAGAAAGACAGTAAGACGAGATTAATTCGATGGGTGCTACTACTTTAAGATTTTGACATTGAGGTTTGTTACAAAAATGGGTCTGAGAATGAAGTGGTTGACCACTTTTCATGCTTGGAAATTGGAAGTGATGATGGCAAAACGCTTGTAATTTTGAATGCCTTTCCTGATAAGAGATTTCTAGCCATCAAAACTCTGGGATCTTGAACTTGGGTGGTAATACCAAATCAGGTACCAAACTCAACTCTTTAGCTTCAATTTCATTTACCCTGGAGCCCTCTTTCATGATCCTAACTTCTTCCATTAGTTGTTCCAATTGTTTGTTTAATTTTTTCTTTTCTTCTTGATCAAAATCTGGAACATTTTCAACTTGTTGTTGGTTTATAGAAGCACTAGGTAAGTTTATGTTTACTCTTCTGGAATGGGCTTTAGCATGAGATGTTGCAAGGTCTGAGGGGTACAAAGGTTCTTCAGTTACTTTATCTTTTTGACGATCTGCTCTTGGTCTAAAGCCTGGAGGGTATAAAATTTATTTAGTGAAAGTACCAACAGTCGGGGTATTTATTTGATCCACACTTCTCCTTTGTAACATACTTGCAAATCTTTCCATCATAACATTCTGGGATTTTATCAATTGTTCATATATTTCTTCCTTATCTTTCTTAAAATTCTCTTGCATCTCAAGCTAATTCTTTTCAATTTGAGAGATCTTATCATCCATTACTCTTTTTCTGGTATTGTATGGATGCTTAGAGGTGTCCAGTAATCTTCGAAAAAGAAAAACCCCTTTTTAATAAAAATGTGTTTTATTAATAAATATGCTGAAATGTAAAATGCTATATAAAAATGCAAAAATATGCAAGGATTCAAGGTGTTGATAATGAGATGACTCTTTTAGAACAACTTTTATACTAAAACAAATTTTTATTATAAAGCTTAAAACATAGTACAGATACAACATCACAGATACATCTGAGCAACTTATCCTAACTGCTATATATGCTCAAGTAACTCAAAGACCTTATGAGCTTCTTCGGTTTCGGACTCTAGTTCTTCACTCAAAGTGGTAGCCTCATATGCCAATTCCATCAAATATTATGCCACTCCCTGAGCTTGCTCCAAATATTTTGCAATAAGATTGTCTCTTTGCTTAACTTTCCATTGGGCACGTTCCCATCGATAACACCATTGTAAAATTCCTTCATAAGGGACAATAGGAAGTTGATAGCCTTCCTCTGAATATCTTGAACCTTGGTTTACAGTTCATTTACTTGCTTTCTCAGGATTCTCACTTTCGAATTACTTTCTTAGCTTTGTAATGTTGTCTCCAACCTTACGATCTTGACTTTTTAGTTTCTGGTTTTGGGCTTGATTTTCTAACAATCGTTGCTCTAATGCCTCATTTTCTTTGGAAAGTATCTTGGCATGGTGTTTGCTTTGTTTGAGCTCCTCTTCAGCTTTTCTTTTCAAACCCGTTGATGTTTTTTTTCTTGATTCTTCCGCAATTTGAGTCTTTACCATCTAATGATAGGGTGACTGGAGATCATTAAAATCTAACATGAGTTGTTTTTCAACCTTGCTAACTTGATCTGCTCATCCTTTATGGATGTCTATTTCGATTTCTTTATGGTATGCTTCCTCTTCCCGTTTTTGTAGAGTTTTGTTCCATTGTTTTATTTCAATCTCAAAGTCATATTTTGCCAATTCTAATGTAGATGGTATAATTCTCAAATGTTTTTTGATATGTTGAAAATTCTCAAAATTAACCATTGGAATGTTGTCGTTGATTCGGCTAATCCTTCATTGCTTGTATTCTTGTGAAAGCTTTTGA